CCACGGGGTGCATCCTTCAGGAACAGTCTGTTCCAGCATGGATCTCTCATGGGTTCACAAATCCTGCCAGCAAACCTACCTCAACATGGGTTCCTCTCTCCATGGGGCCACAACGTGGGCTTCCCAGTGGGACAAAGTCTCCTTTGGGCATCCACCTACTCCAGTGTTGAGTCCTCCAGGGGCTGCAGATGGATTTCTGCTACACTGTGGATCTCCATGAGTTGCAGGGGGACATATTGCCTCCCCATATTCTTCACCATGGGCTACAGGGAAATCTCTGCTCTGGCACCTGGAGCACCTCCTCCCCTCTTTCTTCACTGACCTGGGGGTCTTCAGAGCTGTTTCTCTCAGACATTCTGACTCCTCTCTCCAGCTGCAGTTGCTGTTGCACAGAGTTTTTTTCTTCTCTTCTTAAATATTTTATCCCAGAGATGCTACCACCATCACTGAAGGGCTCAGCCTTGGGCAGTGGTGGGTCCACCTTGAATCTGGCTGGCATTGGCTCCATCTGGCACAGGGAAACTTCTTGCAGCTTCTCACAAAAGCCACCCCTGAAGCTTCCCCTGCTACCAAAACTTTGCCATGGAAACACAATACAGGCATATAGCCAGAAGGGGTAAAACTATGGGTGAATTAGGGTTTCAGATTCAGCTCTCCCTAATGTTTTCAATCATTTATCATGGGCCTGATTTGGTTGTTTTAAATCCCAATATTAGTTCAGTGCATAGCTCTCTCTGGAGGCTACAGAGAGATTTTCAAGTGGGTAGAACTGGGGGACCAGATACCTAGATACTTCTAAAGCCAGCAATATTTACATAAAGGATATCTTCACAAATCAAAGAATGAAACTAGTATTGTGTCTGTGAGTACACAGCTTAAAGCTTAGTGTTTCAGTCAGGCAATATTTGATACAAAATTATTCAAGTTTCATAAAACCTACCCAAAGACAGTTCTGTATTTTAGCTGACAATCAAAGAAGGAGAAAGGTAAAAGGCAGCTCTGAAGTCTGGAGCTTAACTGATGAGTCTGAACTGATAATGGTGTTTACAGAGGAAAGGACTACCTTTTAATATTTAGAGTGTGTATTTGAGTAGACTAGTGGATTCTCTTTCAGACTTGACCACAAACTAACTTTGATTTTCCTCAGGTTTCTTTGAGTTTATGTACTGTGCAAAAGAAAATCTTAAAAGAGCCGTAACCCTAAATAAATTTTATACAGAGATCCACTTTTTATCCCTTAACACTTGTGCTTTGGAGAAAAATGTCTATAAGACTCTGGAGTACTTTCATGCTATAGTTAGTTCCCACTGGTTCTAGCAGGAGTTCATCAAAACCAGTAAAATTCTCAACAAAGGGACTTTCTTTGAAATTTCCTTAAACAGATCTAGAATTGTCTTTTTCTCTATATAGGCAAATATAAAAGTAGATATAAACTGCCTGCCTCATTAGTACAGTGCATCTTTTGAATCACAATTAATTATCTTTGAAAGGATGTTTGAAATGCTTAGATGGAAAGAGAAATGTGTTATTATTATGAATAATTAATTTTCAATGGTTGGTGTGGGATTTCATGCCATGAGAGTCTCACTGATTTTAATGGAAGTTACATGTCTAAGTCCACTCACTGTTGTAAGTCTGCAGTGTTTTGTGATTATAAAAAGAGATCAGAGAATCTCCATGTCAGTTGTAGTAAATTACATGTCCCATTCTGTATAAGTGGGGGCAAAAGTGAAATGCCCATTTAAAACAACCAGGTCATACTTGTTTGGCAAGATGTTGATACAATCTGCGCTACCTTACTAAAAAGCTGGACCAATCAGAGGATTACAATAAAACTTTGATGGAAGGGGCTATTTTAATAGACATACTAACAAAATTATTTTATGGCAAGTTGCAGTAAAGAAATACTTGAAATTGGATTGGTTTGTAATGTCAATAGCATATTGAAGTCTTGGCAGGTTCTGAAGTACCATGGCCATATATTTTGTAAATGGCTCCTTATTTTAGAGAAGGCTGATAAGGGAGAGATTGCCTCTCTTTCAAGAAGGTAGTGGAAAATATGATGAACTCAGCTGTGTAGGGAGTACAGGTCAGAAGTTTTGATGCAACAAAAAGCATTGGTGGGAGATGAAGATGAAGTCTTAAGGAGCTATTAACCAGCTGCCAAGCAAAGGTATGCTCTGAACAGGCAAAACTGGAACAGGACATAGAACACGTTCCAGCATGTAGAGGGTGCTGGAAATAGCACTTCAGATGCCCTGTGACTTTCCCTACCCAGATCTCAATCACCTATTCAGCACTTGACTCTGTTTCAACCAGTACTATGGAGTACTTTTGACTCGGGAACAATCATCTTCTCGTAACTCTGACTTCCTTGGAACTCATTTTACACTACTACACCAATCACAAAATCCTATAATACTGCCAAATGCAAATATAATATCATATAATCATAGAATATCCTGATTTGGAAGGGATCCATGAGGATCATCAAGTCCAACTCCTATCCCTATACAGGACAACCGCAAAAATTGCGCCATGTGTTTGCAAGTGTTGTCCAAATGTTTCTTGAACTCTGTCAGGGTTGGTACCATGAACACTTCCCTGGTGAGCATCTTCCAGTACCTTTTTCTAATATCCAACCTAAACCTCCCCTCACACAGCTTCATGCCATTCACTCAGGTCCTATCACTGTCACCAGCGAGATCGGTATCTGCCCCTCTGCTTCCCCTCATAGACTATGATGAGGTTTCCCCACAGACTTGTTTTCTCCAGGCCGAATAAACGATGTGACCTCAGCCTCACCTCGTATGGTTTCCTCTCAAGGCTCTTCACCATCTTCACAGCACCTCCTTTGGACACTCTCTAATAGTGTTATATTGTTATATTGCCCCAAACTGCACCCAGTATTCAAGGGGAGGCCACCCCAGTGCAGAGCAGAGTGGGACAATCCCCTCCCTCGACCGACTGGTGATGTTTTGCCTGATGCCCCCCAGGACACGGTTGGCCCTCCTGGCTGCCAGGACACTGCTAACTCATATTCATATTCCCATTGACCAGGACCCCCAGGTCCCTTTCTTGGTGCTGCTCTCCAGCTTCTCATTCCACAGTCTTTATGTACATCCAGGGTTGCCCAATCCCAGAGGCAAAATCTGTGACTTTTTAAACTTTGTACCACTGCTGATCACCCAGCCCTCCAAGCTGAATATATTGGGAAGGAGCTTCCATTTGAGATAAAGCTCATATAAATGTCAAGAAAAGTTCAGGTTGAAGATTCTGAACAAGATTTGACTTAAATGTAAAGGGTGGAAGAAACAGAACCCAAATACTGAAACTCTTAAAACTACATTTTGTCAATGTGTGATTGAGGAGGATGAAGAGGAAATGCTCAGTGTTAGTCTGCCTGTTGTGACATGAGACAAAGAAAGGCATGTGGTGGAGTGATTCCTACTTCTACACTCTGAGCCCTGTGGAATGCTGGCTGTGAGAAAAATGAAGATCAAGCTGGAGTAAAAAGTGCAGCTTTCTATTCATGTTTGCCTAAAATGATGACACCCTTAATGGCCTGAAGTACAATAAATGCAAATTACCTTCATAAGAGAGGTTAGCTTAACAAACCTTTTTGAAGTATTGCACATTTTTATTATAAGACTACCACTCCGTATGTCATCAGACACAAAATTTGAGACAGTAAAGCAAACGACTTCCATGAATAAATGCTCTAAAATTGGCTGTCTTGAACAGGTGGAATAAACATTTGATATAGCCAGATACACCTGCTGGAAAAATCAGGCTTTCCTGCTGCATTATAGAAACAAGGGGATTGACTAGGTGAATCAAAGTACTTCCTATATTCTTAAATATCTATATGCTTGTAATACACATCTAGGCAAAATAAATTTCTAGGCAAAATATAATTCAAAAATATTTAATAGATCTAATTCAGTCCTGAAGGAATAATGCAACAAGGAACATTGTTGACTGTACCAGTGTTTTTTTCTGTTTATTTTCAAACATATATCTATGATATAATGCATTTCTTGCAGTGCACCTGTTTATTAAAGTATCTATAAGGGGATACTGTTTAAATACAAATTAGGAGCTTTTTAACCAAAATTATTATTTATATTCCTTCCTTGTTATGTTAGTCAAATGGTTTATAGTTTACAGGTATTGGGACTATTTTATAGATTGATCTCTTTAGGAAAGTTGGCAGAAAATCTAACTTTATTCAAATAAAGAATAGTAATTCAATCTTTTTAAACACAAACTATCTCAAATGTATTTCAAATTTATCTTAATTTTTTTCTCTGCTTTGTGCCATGATGCTAAAATATCCTATTTTTTCCTTTTCTATAAAAAACTTAAACTATCTTTTAAATTAGCTATACTAATGGCTTTGATCTGAAACTTTGGAACCAAGTTCTATGTGTTTGACAACATTTATATGTACTCAAATTTTCTGTTTAGTTCTCTAAATTTCATGCCGTGCACCCGTCCTTATTTCCTCATTCCTGCATATATTTTAACTTCACAGAAAGTTGTTTTATAAGGAAAACAGACTGCCATAATACCGAGATGATAATATTTTCTTCCTTTTCCAGTTTTGATATTATTCTCGATATTGACTATCTTGAAAAAATGTAGCACAAATTACAATCTAAATTCCACCCTTTGGAGTACATAAAGCAAATAAAATGCTTGTTTCACAAGTGTTTTGTATCATATAAATTAAAAAGTGATTCAAATACATGAACTCATAAGTCTTTGAATTTTATGACCTCTGAGTCATCCTAAATACAATTTGATTGCCTTAGGGTACATTGAGCTGTTGAAAAATACAGGTTGCTTTCACAAAAAGAAAGGAATCATAGAAATGTGTGAAAATTTAATTTTAATGTAATTTAAAATGTAGCCTTGCCAATTGCAATATATATGTTTGTCATTTCTGCTTCGGACTTGTACTAAACAGCATTTTGATTATTACAGGTAAAATATTCAGTGTTATGTTATGGCTTCTGCAAGCATTGATTAAACTCCCCAGTGTTCATGAAGGCTGACAGGGATTCAAAGGAGGAAATGTAAAACTTGAAGGTACAGCAGTATAGTGACATTTCACTCTATAAAGCTGCCAATATTTTAATCCTGCACGTAAATCATTTTCATCAGTTCAATTTCATATCTTAATTTGTGTAGCAAACAAAGTATTGGATTGCATTACGTTTAATAATTAAGAATGGAATATCAATTTCCATATATTTTAAGTTCCTGGCCAAGAAATAGAGTTAACATTTTTAGCTTCAATTTGTTTGCTTTACAAAATAGGAATGATTAAGGATTAGGTCTAATTTTCATGCTATGATCAACCAAAGTTTCATTATTTGTTTTCATAGAACCTTTAGTTTCTCTGCTTAAGTGATGTCTTCGTCAATGTTCATGTTGTATTCATTTAGAGTGATGATTGATATGGTAATAGATACAGTGTGATTGAAAGCAACCTTTGTCAATAGGAAGGCCAAATACTCAAACAGCGTATTGGTTTGAATTTGCTCATTATTGGAGACCTTTCATAGTCATATTGACTTGCTGTCCAAATGTTGTTACTTACCTGATGCTTTCATTGTTTAAATGGTATAGACATTGGTATTGAACATGACTTTTCCCAATATTTGTCCTAAAATACACACGGCTCAATTATCTACTGAAAATTCTTAAGGACTATTTTCAAGGTATTAAAATGGTATTTGGGGAATATAAACTGAATTTTTGTGACAGAGAAAAATAGTATTCTATACTGGTGATGTGCAATGCAATGTGTTCTGTACTGTGACTTTGTATTTCTTGATATTAGGAAATTATAGAAAGTTTGTTTTTTCTGAAATGCTTTTTGTCACAGATGCAGAAGTCCAGGGAACCACATCTCTTGGGAAAAGAGCATTCCAGGGTCACAGAAAATATCACTGTTCCTTTATGTATAGAGTTTGACATTCAAGAGCTTTTCTATTCTTGATGAAACTCTTCTGAACTCATTCTGGCCCTAATCATGTATTAGACATGCCTACAAGTGATGTGACCTTGATTTGGGTATTGAGGCATTTCAAAAATATGGAGAAAAATGAAGTCCTCTTCCTTCTTCATTGCACATTGAAACTTGCCAAGAGACCAGGCAAACATTAACACTTAAACACTTGTGCAATAACTTAGGGCTGTGATACAAATCAGAGGAGAAATTTTTATGCAAAGGCAGAAAGTCTTCATGGGACTTAAAGTTGGATTATGCCTTATGACTTCAGTGCAGACCAAATAGCAGTAGAGAACTAAGGTCCCCCTAGGAGGACACAGAACAGAGTTAAATCATGAGTTAGGTGCAAGATGTTTTGGCATGGATGGCTCTCTGCCCTAACAGACTGTTTAATCACTACACTGACACATTATTATTACTATATCCTTCCTGACTTGTCCATGTCTTTCAAAATATATCTTTCATATCTTTCCAAAACTCAAGATTTGCTTTTGTCAAATCCTTTGCATGGCTGAAAGGTGTTAATTTATCTCCGTTTTCTCCTCAATTTGCTGCCAAAAGGGGTTAGTTCTATTGCAGATCTTGCCAGGCCCCTTCGAATCTGAAAATCTCAAAAATGAGATGACAAAATAAAATAAATTTTCATATATAAAATATAGGAAAATGGAGAAAGTACAGAAATATTTTTCTCTTTTATTTTGTGATTATATTTCCCCTCAATAAAGACACACGACTGGAAATTTCATTCATAAATTGAAATTTATGAACTACCATAAGCAATTTTGAGCAGTGTTGAAACAAGCTCTGCTTACATAGTTTTCAATTAAATATGTAGAAAACATTTACCATTTTCTGACGTCTCCTGTGAGAGTTCCTTCAGAAAAATGTAGTGAAGGCTAGTTTGCAAGATTTGCAAGCTCAAGTTTCTGTTAAATATTAAGAGTTAGATAGATTTCCTTCCAAAGTCTGAGGACATATCCATTCTAGCCATGAAAATCATGAAAAATTTTTTATGATGTGATTTAATGAGCACTATTTTCCTTTTAAATGACCCGTTACTCAAAGTACCAACAAGCTATGGCTTTTTTGAAGCTAGCCAGTGTCAGCTCTCTTCCTTGCTCAATTTCTTTGCTTTTGTGTCTCTTTCTGGGCAGTTCCTGAACCATCATCCTACTACAGCTACACTAGAAGACTGCAAATAATATGCATGCAACAACCCTTTTCTGCATTAAGGTGTGAGGATGGACAGTGGAGAATATTATAGGAAAGGGTCTTTCTCTTGTCTAAGTGTCATAATGCTCTCCCTAGATCCCTGGAAAAACAAGCAGTGTCAGTGAATGCCCGAGGTAAAGTTTCTTTCATTCATTCTTTCATTCATTCATTCATTCATTCTTTCATTCATTCTTTCATTCATTCATTTCTGAACTGAATAACCTCTTCAAATTGAATGTAGTCTCTAGAAGAAAATATATATGTCCTGACTATATATATAGTCTGGATACAAAGTTAAATCATTAATTTCAGAGTTCAGAGATGTGTTGAGCAATGTCAATTTTTTTTTAATATTTTTATTTATAAAGGTAAATAACATAAATGTTATGTTTAATTCTTTGGATTTTAACTTCACTTTTGGTAACGTTTCCTTAATTAAAAAGAAATGGGAAAATTCAGACCTGTGGTTATTTATTAAAAAATGTCAGGACAGAAGCCCTCCAGCTTCCTAGAGCATTTAATTCATAGGAATGGAATGCTGTTCTGTAGTCAGCATATTTATTAGAGAAATATATATTCCCTTCCAGAAAAGTAACTATAAGTTTAGGTATTTGAGGAGGTTTTCTGCTCCCTTTCTTATAATACTAATAAGGAAACATTTCTGTTTAAATAGGAAATCCAAGTAAACAAATCATCAGTGTCATTGTACTCCTGCCTACCGGTCTCTTGCCTTGACACATTATATTGCACCAAATTATATTGCATTGCCTACATGCTAACATGGGTAATGCAAACTCAAATTTTCCAATACGTAAAAACAACAACAACAACAAAAAAAGGCATAATCAGTGTTGTAACTGCTTGGCTTTACACATGCTAGCTGAAATTGCCCACTGAACATCCTAGTAATGTTTGCACAAATTGCAGTGTTTGCTTCTTGGTGTTTACAAAAAGCTGCCATTGGATAGCACCCGAACACCAAGGCATGTCCCATTTCAAACAAATAGGAAAAGCATGCCATCACATGCTGTGGTCTGTGAGCAGAAGCTAGAAAAAGGGAAAACTTACAGATGCTGAAATATAAAGTAGGAAGATAATATGAAGAGCAGACATTGTGAAAGACAATTCAGCAATATGGAAAGGAGCCTGGAGAGTGCAATTAGAAACAAAGCAGATGAAAATGTACCTGATGACAGGCAGGAAATAGACTGAAAATCTTCATTTTTCTTTCTATAGTGATAACAATGTTCCTTTTCTCTGCCCTTTGGGGGAATACTCTACATAGTATTGGTGGGCAGATATGATTCCAGGCTTCTTCTCTTCTGAGCTGTCAGGCACAAAGCTCTCTAAAGTGGAAACTATTCCAATTACTGGGATTTTTTCCAAAACTTGAAAAACAAATGGGAAAACAGGAAAATTCAGGTCATAACATCTTTATTATCCAGTAACATAAGTCAGAAACTGCTATTTTTTACTTGATAATAGTTACTTTCCATTTTATAAATCAGTCTGGAATACAGAAGACTTTGAAGTGCCTAGCACTTATGTGTAACCCTTTTTGGTGTTGGGGGAGGAAAAAACCCAACTCTTGTGGGATTCCTACTGGTGAGACAGCTTCTGGAGGAAATGATGTTCCCTTGGCATGGATTGCACTGTGGGGGAAGTTGATGGGAATCTTCTAGGCTTAACCAAAACAAACTTGCACATCTGTTTTTGTCGAGGACCAAGAATTAGAATGGGAACGATTTCAGAAGTGGAAAAATATGTACAGCGATTGAATGGACTTTATGATGCAGACTTTACAGTTATTTTGTATATACACATTGTACGTTTCCCCAGAATTTGTATCTCCCGGGCATGTCCCGGCTTGTTCACTTCCCTACTCCCTTGTTTCTCTGCTGATTGGCCGGAGAAGCTGCAGAGAGGAGACAGCCCCCATTCACCCTTTCCTTCCCCGGTTCCTCCTGCGGTCCTCCCCCTTTTGCCCGTGTCCCTATCCTGGTTTGTCCCCCTGCTTGTCTGTCTCATGCTCCGCCCCATGTTCTGGCCCTTTCCCCTCCTGAGCTGATAAAAAACCTCGTGCACACTGGAATAAAGGATTCTACCGGCACCCTACCTTGTGTCCCGGACCCGTGCTGTCCCACGGCCCCATCCCCCCTTCGGACGGCAGCATGTTTTATAACTTTAGAGCTTACTGTAACAACAACAAGAAGAGCAAAGTTATTTAATGAGAGCAAATAAAATACTCATGCAGGTAAAATTTGGGCAGTCGTGAATCAAGGGGAAGAATGCATCAGAGACAGGCACTAAACGGGCACTAAAGGCTCTATGAGCAAAAAGGTTTGAGAAATCTGTTTGAACTGTGAAGGAGTTTGTTTTTGCAAGGAACAGTAAAGATTCTGTCCAAGAAGTTTCCAGCTGGTGGTGAAGCCCCAAAATACTATGTGCTAAGTTCTTTTTCAAAAGAGATGCAACATTGCAGGGACTGTGAGGAAAGATGGAGAGAGCTAGTTGAAGCATCTGTTTTAAAAAGTGAACAGACAATCAAATAGTGAAGTATTTCCTACTTAGTTATGAGTTTATTCCGGAGGCAAGTGCTGGGGAATGCTAATGTGGATATGAGGAAATCTGGTAAACCTCATCTGACCTGCAAAAAACTGAGATATTGCATTTTTGTTCTTCTTCCTGAGTGCATGGGCACAATGAGTACTTACACACATATACATACAAATATAATAATATTTGCCTTTAATATGTATAGATATTATTAGAGGAATAAGAGTTGTTCATTAGCAAGCATTTCAGGTAAATGAAGACAGATAACCGAAGAATGCAAATGATGTGAGAAAAAATAGGAGGATGCTTTTGGAACAATCTGATCTATGCTAAAGAACACAAAAAAAAAACCCAAAAAACAAACAAATGGGGTGGCACATAGAGGATTTAACGTGTTAGGCGAGTAAGTCTGAAAAGGAGAAGTCCTCTCAGAAGAAGGATTTAGAGCTATATTTTGCATTGTCAATAGCAGATACTGGAGGAAACTTTTGATTAAAATTTGGAATGTAAAACGACTAGAGAGAAAAATCTGTGCACACAATAGAAAATATAATAATGGGAAAAACCAGAAAGCTGATAAGAAATAGAAAAAAATTATGGATTTTTAGATTTGGAATTTAAGAGTACTGGCAGATCTGCAGAATGAGAAAGGCTGGGGATAGAACAGGAATAAAATCTCAAGAATTGAAGGAATTGAAAACCTATAAAACCAAACAGATATATCAATAGAAAGAAAATTTGAAGGAAAATTAAAGGTTGTGAAAGATGTAGGTATTAGGGGAAAAAGTCCTATATGTTATCTCTTAAGAAGCATGGGGGTAAAATGATACAATGACAGAGAGGGAAGACCGGAGCATTCCCTAGGTTCCCTTCAGTAGATGGAGACAGAAACACAGATGATGAATGCTTGGTTTAGTTTAAGGTTTAAAGGAGCAGACAGAATGATATCAGATATGTAAAGAAGTGAAGGATGTAGCTGAAATTAGAGACCATAGTGACAACAGGGGGGAGGGAGGTTAGGGAGGGAAGGACAAATCTGTGAGCATCACAAAATCAGAGAGGATAATAGCATGGAGATCATAAATACAAATGAGTGAAAAGCTGTGGAAGAGTGAGGGTTAGTGAAGGAGAACAAGAGGTGATCTGATAGAAAAAGCCTTAGAACTTGAAGATAAATAGAATGAGCTGGTTCTGATTCGGTTTTTTTAACTTCCTCATTTAAACAAATAAAGGCTTTACCATATGGTACAGTTTGCTTCATACTTAAACCTCTTAATAGAACATTACATAGCTTTATTTTGCATTTCCAAATATCTCTCTAAAGGTTATCTCAGTACTATTAGGAAAAAAGGAACTTCTCCCAAGAAACAGCCAGGAATACCAGTAACCACAGAGAGATTTTCCCAGCAGAGAGGGTGACTTGATGTCTACAAACTAATTAGCCAGTTTAGATGTATGTATTCAATGCTAGTGCATAAAAATTAAACTTTTTATTGGTATCTGCCTGTCTCTGATGCATTCACCTCCACCTACACGCTAATGCTGTTTATTAATATCTTTTCCTGATGGCATGTGAAAATTATTTTCTGAGTGTATCAGATCTGTTCAGCGCTATCCAAAATAAAATTGCATGAAGGTATAAATACTAATGGAGAAAGTGCACCATGGGGAACACCCATCATAACATGAAACTAATTTATTTATGTACCTGAGCACCAAGCAAAGAATTTTGTGTTTTGTTTAAGGTTTGATTTTTTTTCCCAGCATACTCACACCCTAGAGTTTTTCGCTTAATAGGTTGCTGGATGTCACGTACAACATATAAAATGAAGCCCAAATTGCTACTGCTACAAATTAAGCTGAAGAAGATCTGTGTCTGACCATCCTAAAGCTGTGAATTGAGCTTTCATGGATGGATGATTTTATCTCAAGTCACTTCTTTTCATTACAGTTGCCCCAACTATGGACTTCATTTCAAAAGGGCTTAAGAGGTGAGCGCAGGCAGTTTTGACATAAGTTATATGAATAAGTACCATAGTGGGGGAGTTACATCATATGTGAGATCAGTATTTGTGTAAAGGGTAACAGCACCACACAAATAAATATCTGAGTGACATGAATATCTTAAAAGGATTACAAAAGAATAGAAAAGAAAATGTACAGAAGTCCATGAAGACAAAAAGAATTCTTTAGAAACATTTAATTCTTACATGAACACGACTTTTAAAGTGTGATATTGCTCTTTGATGCATATGTCTTTAATACATATAACTTGGAGATGATACACTGTTATTAGAGACTTATCATGCCTGATGTGCAATGCAGGGGCGTTTGCTTTGATGAATTAGAATTTGCTGTCATGAATCCAATGGCAGCAATGTGACGCATCACTACCACTAGCATTCAGAGGCTTATAGCTATAATTACCCTATATTAATACATAGACATATAGAGGACAGAAGCAAATCTTTATCTATTTGTGTCCTCCACCACAAAATTCTTATTTCCTTCAATATTTTATACTGCCTGTGTGTTTCAAACTTAATCCTACATATCAAAATAACACTTAGTCTTTATAGCTACACCAAGTGTTCATATCACTAAACATGTATATTATTCTAGATTTATTTCTGTGAGATTTACGCATGCTGTATATAGAAGCAGAGGAAGAGGGAGAAAAGTGAGAATTTCTTTGCGGCTTAAAAAGGATTTTAGTTATTCAAAAGATCTGAGAACAGTAGAAAGAGAAACATAAAGGAAAACAGTAAACTGTAGGAGCCTAATCTTTTGTTATAAGATGCATATTCATTGGAGGAAAAAAAAGCTGGAAACATTTTAAAATCGCACATATACAAGTTACAGGTGCTCTCACACCTCTGTGCGTCATTCAGTTTTAAAACAGACAGCTTGTCTCTGTTTACGCAATTTTAGAACTGGCAGACTCTTCCTTAGAAGTAGTATAAATGCAACTTGTAAGAAAGGCTTCAGATATGGGAAGCCACAAGGAGTTGTACAGATTTACAGAATTTTTAAAGTTCTGTTAAAAATTTTAGGGGAGGGAAAAAAACCCTCGTTCGTAATTCTAGAAGAACGGAAGAAGCAAATTTACTATTTTCTCTTTTTACACAGATTAACTAATTACAGGGCAAATTATCACTGTGCGCTTGCCTTAATCTTTTTTTGCAGGTTTTCATGAAGATCAGAAGCAGGACAGGATCTGACCCAGTGTGGCCATTCATGACTATGCTACCCACAGGTGAGTAAACTATATGTCTGACATACAGGAATATGACGTAGTCTAAGAACAGCCTGGAAACCTTCTTCAAGAGATGCCTTGCCTGTGATATAGCTTGCAAACTTGCAAGTACTGTCTTTGGTAGTGCAGTGTGGATGTTTGTTATGTGTCTGGGCTGCCCAGGTAGGCACAGCACAAACTGCGACTTTCATGAACATAGGAGGAAAACTAAAGGTGTGAGCACCTGTAGAGACCAAACTTTCTTAACAGTTAAAAAAAATGCAGTAATCTGCTGCCTTTTCTTTTTTTTTTTTTTTTTAATTTGGAAGTTGTTGATAATAAAGTAGTGGATATATTTAGCTAGATTCATTATAGGTGAATTATACTTAATAGTGCCAAAAACTAGAAATACTCCTACCACATGTTCCTTACCACCATCTCTTTTGTACAAAACTTTTCTGAAACTGTTGTATTTATCAATTAATGAAGTATCTTACCATTTGAATTCTTTAATAGTTTGGTTTTTAAAAGTTATCCTCTCATTTTACTACAAAACAGGAAAAAAACCCCCACAACTAACTATGGCTTTATGGGTTTGTTTTTTTTGGGGGGGGTATTTGGTTTTGGATTTTGGTTTTGGGGGCTTTTTTGTTTGGTTTGGGGTTTTTTTGTGTTGTTATTTGGGTTTTGATTTTTTTGGTTTTAATATTGTTCTGCTTAATATTAAAAGTATGTTACACTACCTGTGCATCTTACTTGCAACATACTTTACCTGGTTCACTCTTTAATTTGTCTGAGCTTGTCTTATCACCAGAGATGTAGTCTATTATTGATTAAATAATTCATTTAGCTGTCCCCAAGATGACAAATCTGCTTATTGTCACAAGAAAGTTGATATACTATACTTTGTTTACAAAGGTTGTACAACAGTCAGAAAGTAATGTATAACTACAATGTTTTTATAGATTTTACATATTATGTACATTTTATTAACAGTTACACCCAGCAATAAATGTATATTTATTTGATAAAGTTTGAAATTGACACTAAAATAACTCACATTTATTGATTGTGCTCAAAGTAAAGAGAAACAGGAAAAATTCACATGGTGAATCAGCTTATGAACCTTTTAAAAGTCTCATCATGTTTGCTAAGCTCCCACATTTAACCCTTTGAACACTGCTTTGGAAATGCACAGAAATTTCCTTCATCCTTCTAAAGTTTTATGAGCATATTGTATATTGTATGTAGCCATAGACACATCCCAATTTTGCTTCTCTGAATGAACTTCTCACATGTATTCGATGGGTTAAGAAGAGTTTATCTTGTTAATCCTGTGCTTAAAAATATAATACTGTTCCTACTTTGACATTTCATTAAAGTAGATATTTTTTAAAGTGACAGTTCTAAGAAATACTGCTGTTTCTTCACTCTTCCCTTCACTCAGAATCCTACCCGGAACCTGGATTAACATATTGATTAAAAAAATTTTCATCCTTACCTTTGCAGATCTCCAGTGAAACACAGTTTTAGTCTCTACCTGTAGAACTTTTCTGTTTCAGAGGCCATTTCAGAAACAGGCTCCGCAGGGGCCTTTAAGATTTGGATAAGTGGGGCAACGAGAAGGGAGCACACCAGAACAGGAGGTGCACTTAGCACCCTACTGCCATCCTGATAAAAATGCCATATACAGCAAAGACATTTGTGAGCAAGTATCACCAAGGAATAGTAGGAATGGCAAACTTTTCATATTTGAATATTGTTCTATCTTGCATTTGGGCCTGGTACACTTCTTCATCTTCTCAGTTAAATCAAAATATAAAGGCCTTAATTTCAATGTAATAAATTCATAGAAACAATAAAAGGAATATCATAGGGATTGTTCAAAACCTCCAAAATTTTCCCAATTTTCAAGGCATTTCCTTTTTATATGTAAAGATATTTTACAGATGTTGGATAACATCTTTTTAGAAAAAAAATGCTGAAAAAATTAGCAAATATGCTAACTAACAAAACCGTGTGAGTTAATGTCCAAGTGCAATGTGAAAGGTAAGTACAAGAGTTTATAGCATTACTAAATTATCAGCAAAAAATGTTCTTAGGCTGCAACTGTAAAATGAGGATACTGAAGCCATATGAGGAGCAGCTGAGGTCAGTTGGTCTATTCAGCCTGGAGAAGAGGAGACGGAGGGGAGACCTCATTGCAGTTACAACTTTCTCGTGAGGGGAGGAGGAGGGGCAGGCACTGATCTCTTCTCTGTGGTGACCAGTGACAGGACCTGAGGGAATGGCCTGAAATTGTGTCAGGGGAGGTTTAGGTTGGATATTAGAAAAAGGTTCTTCACCCAGAGGGTGGTTGGGTGCTGGAACAGGCTCCCCAGAGAAGTGGCCTGACAGAGTTCAGGAAGCATTTGGACAATACTCTCAGGCACATAGACTGACTCTAGATTATGGTCCTGTGCAGGGCTAAGAGTTGGACTCGACGATCCTTGTGGGTCCCTTGCAACTCAGCGTATTTGGTGATCCTGTGAAAGTTAAGAAGTTTGGTAATGCACTATTTCACTTTCAAGGCAAAAAATTTCAGTGTCTTTTATTTATATATTAATTTTGCATTACATTACTTTGGATGTACCAAATGCATGACCTATGATATTTAGTCTATTACAATTCCCAAAACGGTGTTAATTGCTTTAGTTTCTAAAGGAGCTAAGTCAGGTTATTCTTACTGTTTGCATCACTCAAATAAAAAATGCATACAGTGGATTTATAAAAATGTATGTTTATGGATGTCTGTTTACCTACTGCATCTATATAGTGTACCTGATTTTATATATATATATAAACTAAACATGTAAATAAGCATTTTCAAGCAATAATAACCTCCTTAGTTTTTGCACAATATCAGTATTGTCTCACAAGTTTTTAGTGTTATTTTCCTCACAAAATTTGAATGTTACCATTCAAATGTTACCATTGTACCATTGAATGATACCATTCTTTAGAACCCTCTAATGGATTCAAATTATAGGTACAGACTTCTGATTTATATATTTGTCATTTTATAAGACTTCATACCTTGTGCTTCAGTGGAAACAATGATTCATACATGAAGAAAAAAAATTAAAATACATTTTCATAAATAGGGCACAAATTATTGATAAACACATCTATGTTTGCAGATTGGTTATTTCTCAGAGGTTATTTGGGGTCATAATTGTAAATCTCATTACCTTGCTTGAAGGAGAAGGTCTCTTTCATTATTACGGTGCTGAGGTCCATATCCCTGAAGCTAATTGCAAGGTATTGCTTCAGAGTTCTAATTGTTTGCCATCAAAATAGCTGTGTAAGCTTGATTAACAGTGTTCAGCAACATTCATAATAGTCCAAGCCTGGTCCTGCATAAAATAGAAACTGGGAAAAAATCAATAAGATTTAATAAGATCAGGAACAATCACTTACAATAGTACATCAATCACACAAAGTAATAGGTGCAGGATTTGATAGGGTCTTGAACTGCCTGAGAGATTCATAACCAGTACTCGTTAATGATTTGTTCATTTGCATTTTATCAATCCAGCTACAGCTGACAAGCAGAAGGAGCAGTAAGAAAATATGTTGACTTAAACTCATCAGAGTTTGCAATTAAAAAAATAACAGATAACTTAATAGAAAAATCAGACGTAGCTATAGATGGGGAGCGTGTATGTATATACATGCATAGATGTGTTCTTTCTTGCTGTGAGATTATAACAAATTACCACACCATAGTGGCTATTAGCATTCCCATAATCCCTCAGAAAGTCTGCTTATGTCTGAGAAACAGTACAACAAAATATAAATTTTTAAATTCTACTCAGTGTTTCACAATGTTTCTTTCTCATTGTATTTCACATAGTGTAATGCCATCACAATATTTAATATGAAACATGCATATTGTCTTGTTTTTGTACCCTTTTAAATAAATAAAGCCCTGGGCTTTGCCTTGGGCCAAACCCATATCAAACACAAAACCAATAGTAATGAGATGGCTTTCTGGTGATTATTATTTAGCATTATATCCTATATCAGCAGATTTTATGTCTTTCTAAAGTAATTAAGTTTTGTTTACTATCTGAACATTTTTTAAAATTGTCATGAATAAACATCAGATCTCATTTATCCAGACTCTTGCCTGTTTGTAATGCATCAGTCTTTTATTTAAAATAAGAAACCCAGAGCCAAACCAAACTAAAATGCTACGAAAAACACCCACATGACCTGCCTCGTGTGTGGATGAGTTATTTAGAGAGTGATCTTGTGAATCTATCTGCAGACCAGTGTTTGTTAGGTACACTTTGATGAGTGTCTCATTATAAACCAGATTACACACCTCCCTTTTCTGAGCATCAGTTTTCTCTGTTAGATGTAGTAATTCTAATTTATATCCCGATTAATGCCTTTCTCTATTATTTTGCCTTTTCATGTCCTTCCACCAGATTTACTTTTTTTTCCCAGATAAAATCTTAAAATACTATCATTGGTTCTCAAGTATCTCATGACAGAGAACGAGTTGTTTATTTGTGGGATCCCCTTTACTGCTCATTTTATTCAGCTTCTACATTTTAAAAGTAGAGGAGCGAATTCTTAATCAATATGTGCTCCTGTGACATCATCTTATACTACGATAGCATCTAACGCCAGTACAAAGTCGAGGCTTCCTTAATGCATGGTGGTTTAAAGTGGAGATTGTCATATGCAAGTATGATATGGCAAGAATTTAATTTGGGTTTTCTGTGCTACATCAGGCCCCTTGGTGTCAGAGACTTTAATGGAGGAGCTTCCCAGGTTAGGTGACACTATGATTTTTGAGGTAAAAGGATGGCTGAGTTTACAACCTGACTGATGCCGTGATTTTAAGGTTGCACCACCACCATCTCAGTCCTATGTGTTCCAGGGAAAATTGACAGGCTGGTGGCTTTGTCAGAAGATTGGCTCAATCTCTAACTGGATTTCAGAAATTATGTTTTTTACACTACTATTCTGAGACATGTAAAAGCTATCAGCTACTATATTAATCATGGATTAGTTGTAATAACTATTAATTTTATAATACGTTCAATTTTTTCATAACTTTACAAATATATCCTGAACTGGATAATTAAATCCGTGAGTTGTATTAAAATCAGAGTAGTAATAAAAGAAAGGGAATGATTTGCAACAGTAAGTCTTGAGAAAAGGATATTCTTTTTCTCATTCTGAGCTGGCCATGAATAATTTGTTATTTTAAATGAGTATGCTTTTTTTCAGTAAATAGCTGTTCATGGAGAAAAACTAAGGCCTCTGAATTTGCTAGATATTCTTGGGTAAAAATATTATTTGTCTATGAGATGTGTGATTTAACATCTGTGCTATTCATTTCCCTCAATAAGTTTGATAAAATAGTCTCTTCATCAGCTAGTGCTCCAGCTTCCCCATAAGTTGCTGCCCATGAGTCACAGATACCCTGTAACATCTAAACTGCTGGAGTTACCAACTAAACACAAACACATTCAGGTTGAGTCTAAGTTAGAGTTTAGCAAGAGCTAAAATTTATCCTCTTCAACCATTGCCACCATGATGACCATGAAGACTTCCCTCAAAAAAGGGAAGCACAAATATCTGAAATAGGTGTCTTTCCAGTTTACTGGTAGATGTTAGTTAACACCTTCAATATCAAGCTATGTTTTCTGTTCCTTGATTGAGCGTGTATTGCTCTTTCAGGAAAAAACCTTCATCTTTGACTGCTTAGTCTGCAAACCTCTTCGAAGAAAAATACTTTCACAAATCCATGAGAACAAGACCAGGTATTTTTAATTTCATATTATTTTCTTGTTTTCAGACATATGGGTGCATGATACCCAACTGTAAGCATTCTTCAATATGAAACACTTTGAGGGATAAATGTGTGACTCATGAAATGAGGATGGACTCTTGTCATCTGGCTGCAGCTGAGGGCTGTTTTTAGTAGGACTTCTAATTGTAGGAAGCCCTGAGCCACAGTCTACGGCCGTACAGTCTGGCAGTATCTCTCTGGCTCTGCAGCACAGGACAGATACATCCTGGATTTTCCTAACCAACAAGGCTGGACACATAGGAGCAGAGTAAGGAAGAAACCTCTGGAATGGCCTGGGGGTGTGGGAAGAGCAACAAAGAGCAGAGATATATGTCAGATGTAGTGGGTGGAGAGTTCTGTGAGACACAGACATTTCTACCATGTGCAGGTATGTCTAGTGATTGATAACATCAAAATATTAACATTTCTTTTTAATAAGTATATCGCTGCTTGGATCCTTAAGATCCTTAAGATTGCTCCCTGAGAGCCAGCTCAGGGGCCAGATCCTCTACAGAAACTTTTCAACCAATCCATTCTTTAGAGAGCTTAAAAACGGAATAAATAAAAGAAATACAGAATTTCAAGAATGTGGGGGGAAAAAGGAAAATTCGCGGAACTTATTGTAGAGAACAACTATCAAAAAACTATGTAAATCATACTAAAAATGAACAAAAACCCAAGTCAATAATTATCTGAGGTGTCTAATAAAAAATGATAGCCTGTGTTTACTCTGATTTTTTTTCCATTCTGTTAGAGCTACATTATTTACTCAATGTTTGTGATGACTCATAGAATATAAAAATAAAATGTTGCAAAGCTATGTTTTTGCTCAAAAAAAAAAATACACCAGAGCACAGTTTTTAGAAGCAATTTTCCTTGTCTCATATATTAAAAAGTGCTTTAATATTGCTGCTGCTGAATATTTAGATGTGACATTATCACATGATTCTAGACTTTGGGAGTGTCTAAGTGCCTAACAGCACTACTGTTTCTTTGTAGAAAGAAGTGACTATGGAAAGCTCTCAGTATTCTGGGTGAATAAGAAGCAAAATACTCTGAACTTAGCATTTTCCCACAAGAGGAAAAAACGTGAAAGCAAGATCCAGTTCTAGGCAACAACTGCTGTTCTGTAAAGACTAGCACTAGACGTCACACTAGAATGTTTTTTAACCCCAAAGTAGAGACAGAAAATACGGGGTTTTATCAGTATGGTCCTGATTTGTGTACAATAAAGAAGCTCAAAAAGGTATTAGGACCTGTGCCTGACAACTAGTTCATACACTGGTTGTGATGCCTACAGACTTTGCAAATGAGGTTCAGGGATTACAGCTGCTAAAAATCAAGTATGCAGGCAAAGCTAAAAAAAAAATCTCTTGCTCTGAAATTCTAAATATTATACATGTTTTGGAATTTTCAAGGTCTAATTTTGAAATTAATAGACTAAAAGTAATACAAATTCTGGAGACATCATGTTAGGTAACACTGATAATGACCAGAGTCTGAAATCTCTGTCTTTCAGCGAATTCCAGTTTGGAAGGCTTTATGTTTGACCTCTATTATTTCAAGCCTTTGCCCTACAATATTTAAAATAAAAGCTTAACTTTCTCCTTCATTTCTTTTTCTTCTTCCTCTTCTTCTTCTTCTTTTTTTTTTTTTTAACTTGTCACCATGTTGTCATTTTTTGTCATGTATATTATTCCAGAAGGATTTGATGTCTGGAGTGATTGCATAAATCAACTCAACTATGTCACTACTTATAAGTTTGCAATATGTTAACTCTCTTCATAATTTACATAATGTTTAAATAATATACCTTCTTTTTCCCTTATCCCTACATTAATGTGATTAGAAGCAGTGGAAGCGCTATAATTTTCTTGTAACGTGTGCTTTCCTCCTACGCTTGCTTATTACAAGAAGTATCATTTCTAAAACTAACAGCCTCTGATCAGTTTAGCTGACAAAAATTATTTTTTTCCAAGAACAAAAATACCTTATAAAATATACTATTGTTTCTACTTAGTATTCCTGTTAAGGTAAACAAACAACAAAAAATTGTTGCTTTGTCTTATTTATTTCCATGCCTCCCTCTAACTGTAAGTAGTAATGGAATACATCTTCTGATATATTATGCAATTAAATTGATGGATGGTTAATTGAGTCAGTATGGCATACCATATGTGTACTCCTGACCTGAATGTCACTGGTCAGATTAAGGCTTCACACATTTGACCAAAGAACATATGCTGTTATTGAGAATGTGGCTCTAGATGGGATAAGGATTTTAGTCCATGGAAAAAAATCATCATAACTGGCTTTGCTCTTTGGTTGTTGGAGTCCTGGCTCCTTAGGAGTCCCATTGTAAAGGACTTTAAAGTAATGAAAGTTATTAATTAAAAGCTTACTGACATCATGGCCATTAACTTTGGCAGGCTTTTTCATTAATTTATTTGATCTCTCTTATTATGTGACATATCCTCGTCATAGTATTTGTGCCTTTGCACATTAAGTTTTAGATCTTATTGGGCTTTAATTTGTGCTTAGATTTTTTTTAATTCCAAATGCCTTCCTTTTTAAAGAAATAAAATATTTTCTATATTGGTGGGCATGATACATACACAAGCAATAAAGTAGCAGAAGGAGGGGAGCTCATCCAGCTTTAATGACAGTGACACATAGACATCAAAACATATACAGATTCTTACACAGAAACATGTATGTATATATAGTTACATCACCATTGCAAATAATGGTATTTTTAGAAGTGCCTTGCTGAAACATTGTTTTCACGATGATTAGTCCTAGTTTTTGGCAGATTTAATATTTCTGTTTTATCTTACTTATCTAAACAATATTTAATGACATTGTATTTTTGTCAGATATTTTGCATATTTTACTTCTAAACCAGCTATTATTGGAGCTACTTTAGCTTCACAAATGTTTTAAAGTAAATTATGTTATTTTACAAAATTATTGCAGTAGAACGCACATCTAAGCAATGATGTTTTATCTTGACATTGCTTTGATGACTCATCCATTTTGACAGGTAACTGCTTTAAAGCTGTTTGGTTTGCATCAACACAGAGATAAAACGAGACTTGTACAATATGTATCATAGAAGAAAAAAATATACTGTCATTACGTGGTTAGAAAAAAACAAAGATTTGTAATGGGAAAAAAACAGTTAATAGAGAAATATCTTTGATTCAGTCAGTGCTTATTATAGAAAACTTGTATATTCTTTGTCCACTGACTTAACCTAGAAAGAGTAGTACTGTCTCTGCTGCATAATTTGTTACCGCCACTTTGAGGAAGATTATGATAATGTACATATAACAAAATTGACAACAATGGAGGAGTCCTGTAATTTTGAACTAAATTCAAGGAGGCTGCTCTGAGCATGAGAACTAACAGTGTCTTCATTATGATTAGCTTACCTTTTCAAGTGTTCTGCTAGGAACCTCTATCACATAAATTGAGGCAGGAACTTTATTATCATCGCTATAGCAACTGCAGGGAAATTTATTTCGAAACCGTTGGCTACCTGAAAATTTTCTCACAACGGAAAGAACAGCAGATAACATATATGCTTTAATTCATTTTCATTTATTCCTGTTTTGAAGTGTTCCATAAATGAGTGTAATGCGGTTTTTTTGTTGTTTTAAAGACAAGATGGTCAGTTCCATCTTAATTTTTTTTTTTTAATAATCCATCTTTTTTTACTAGGAGCAAAAAGGAGTGCTGGTAGATTTTGGTTGTATTGTTATACGTAAAACTTTAATTATGCCAAGATATGGAATATTTCAAATTGGCCCATTTAATGCACAATTCTCTTCATTATGTAATTTTTGAGCTTAGCTGTTACCTGGCTTTTCTTTCGACTTTGATCTTGAATCACATAACCTCTCAGCAAGAATAATGAAGTCTGCATTTTTTTCATTATTTTTCCACAGTGTCATTGTATTCTGTGCCTAAAGAATAGGAATAAGCACAGATGGGTTTGTAGAGGATGTGAGGGAACTGAAGATGCACAGGGAAATTGAATACGAATACAGGGAAGTGTCTCTTTTTTGTCCATGGAAGGATGGATCACATGTTCAAAATTGGAATTTTTATGCACAACCCCCCTATGGATGCGCTTCTGTAATTACAGAACAAGCATAATGCTGAAGACAATAACAATGCTTCAGAAATTGGCATCAATCTTTTATTGCAAATATACAAACAAAATTCTTTTTTATTTCTTTTTGCCCAGTGATATTTTTATTTTCTTTAAAATTAAGAGAGAAAATGATAGTGTTTTGAAATATGCGTTTGATTAAATGGGCAGGGAGAAATGGAGCGATATCTCAGCTGTATTGAAACCCTTTTCTTCCACGAAATATAACAAGTGTAAAAATTGTTTTTATTTATGCACCGTGGCTGGTGTTGCATTATGAAAGTGCAGTGTGTGTCAAAAGTAACCCACATAACACACTTCAGTCACTGCTTTAACCAATGCCCATTTTTTATTGAAAAAGACAGTTTAAAGTTTACTGTAATCTGCGTTAACGAGATCACATGATGGGGACTCCCTTAGCTCCCTTTAACATTTGCATTTTCCTTGTAGCCAAATTTCTTTAAACTCTTCCTAGTAAAGAAGACAATTTTGTGCATTGGATTTCAGCATGTTCTTCCTTCTACTATGAATTAGAAGTACGTTAATTTGCTTTCACATTCAGGAAAGCATCTAAAGAGTTGCTGAAGATGAGAATATAAGATTGAATGCAAAATGGTCAATGCAGTTGAGTGTTTTGGATATTTTGCATGAGGTAAAATATTTCCATTTTCATCTGATAGTTTTAGGAATCTCACCAAGACACTTACCTAAAGAGTCAAGTTGTCCTAAGGTCCCCAAATGATTCACTAGTAAAAGTTTCCCCTCTGGAACATAATCAGAATTGCTCTCTGGAAGTGCCTTTCTTCTTTCATTGACTATTTAGGAGTCAACTGTGCTCTTCCTTTACTAAACTAGCCTTACTTCACTAAAAACCCATCAGGTCAAAACATTTCCGCTCACAAACCTCTCACAGTGGAAAAACATAATTCTCAGTTGTAATATGTTTGCTTTGGGTTTTTTGTTCAGTAGAGTTTATTTGGTTGTTGTCTGTTTTTTTGGGGGCACTTTTTGAGGTGTGGTTTCTTTGGGTTTTATTTCTTTGCTTAGTTGGGGGCTTTGGATCTTTAGCTGTTCATGGGAGTTTTGGGAGCGGCTACCCCTGGATCACTATTTCACCCTTGTACACAAATAAAGAATGAATAAACAAATGTTTGAAATGTGAGCGGAATAAGTCAGGTTAACTATGTGAATGATCAAAGATGAAATTAGGTTTTGGTTCCTCTTAAGTAATTATCAAAACAACATTATTCATTAGATATTATAATCTATAAAAAGCAATTATTACTTTGTGGAAGAAAGTGCTAGTGCTTTGAAAATCTATCTCTAGGTATTGAAACAGCCATTGTAAAATGTTGTTCATCTATATGACAGCTTAAGATTTTTTTTTTAAATAGATATCTCAATTTATTAAGGTAAGTATCTATATATAAGTCCATTTGGGTCAACTCCAGTATCTTACTTAAGTCCCATCAGCACCAGCCTCACTCTACATTGATTCACCATTCTGCTAGCACTTACTTACCCACTTACAGTGTTAGCAATTCTGCAATATTCAGAACCCCACGTACCTGTCAGGGCCCTAAGACCCCAGGCTCACACTCTAAGCTCATCGAAGGAGTTTTACTTTAAAGATATACAAGGCTCCAAAAGTCCACTCGCTGGATTCATTAAAAGGGCCTTCAGTTCTTTTATACCTTGAGAGGGTGCACAGGAGAAGACTCTGCACACGTTTCTCAAGAGGTCAAATAACACACTTCTCCTGTGTGGAAAAACTTTGGAAAATAAGGGAACTTGGCAAAAGTTTAAAGGGTAACATTCAACCAAAATAAAGCATTCCACAAAGCATTGACTTAGTGCATGCTAGCATATACAGTTAAGCAAAATCCAAGTTACCCAAATATCAAGAAAGCAGATAAGGAGAAGAAGTAAAGAGAGAGAAAATGAGAGAGTTATAGCTACCACCCTGGGTCCAGCATAGATCCAGCTACCAGGAGGCCAGGAAATACAGGGCTGCAACCATGCAATGGCTGCATGGTGTTGGCTTTTATCCCCTCTGGCCTCCTGTGGCCAGCCCCCACAGGCAGGGAATGTGCTAGTCATTTTGAGGCTGGGTTAGGGGCTCCAGAGGGTGGCGTGGGGCAGTGCTCCTGGTGTACCAGTGACTGACAGCTGCTCTGGGGCTGCCCAAGGAGGCTCCAAGGGGCTCGGGTATGGAACAGGGCACCACTTCACCTTTGTGAAATTCAACCTGTCCCTTCCCGCCACACACACAGTTGAGTTGGTCTGAGCCAATGATTAATATAATAATCCAGCATCTCACAGGCCCGGAGTGCAACCACAGATTCTGCCACCTCTTCACCCTCTCCAAGGGTCTTGGCTGTCTTTTCTCAGTGTTCTTTCTGATATGATGCAGCTGTGTGACCTTGCTCAGAGCTGCAGAAGGAAGAACCTTGCTGGGGTCTCCCACCTTCCTTCACCTGGGACCTGACTAAGCCCTCACTCTGTGTCTTTGCTGCAACCTGTCTTTGTGCCTTACTTATCCTGACCCTGACCCACTGACTTAACATTCAGGCTTGACTCTGAACCAGACCCACCACTGGGGACTTATCTGTGATCCTTGTTGAGGCTGATCCTGGTCCTTGTCACCAGTCCTGCCATACATGTCTCATTGGGCACAATGGGATGGCACTGACCAGTCAGCCTGACCATCACCCATGGACCCTGGCCCAAGGGCCCTTACAAAGCACACCCTCCACCTGCTCCCTGGTAGTACTACTCGCAAGGGCTTATCAATGAGAGATAGGAAAGCAATACTCCGATGGGAGTGTTCAAGAATTCCTTTGATTCCTTTCATTCTTCGTGCCTGCTTTGATGAACTTGCATCTGGGAAGATTTTCATATATATAATGTCAGGTTTTGATCAATACATAAGAGAAAGAATGTGTATCCCAACTTAGCCAATAATATGTTGTTTGTCAAGAACACAGAAGAGCTGATTGATATCCATTTTTTTGGGATACAGGGCAGTGACTTGAACCTGAGGAGCTATATAGCCCCTTTATGTCCTCAGTTCTCATATACTTCTTTACGAGAAAATGTAAAGCAGACATTGTGCCAGAAAATGAATTATTAACTCCACAACCAAAGGATTAAAGTGATTGCATGTTATTTTGATTTAGGAATTCCAGCTTTGAATTCTGCTGTAATGAGTGCTTGTGAAAAACAGAACACACCAAAAGAAGGACTCAGGGCAAATGCAGTCAAACTCAAGGATTGCAGCATACACCTGGCACACCAGAAGCTGGAAAGTGACTGTTTGAACCTCATTCTCAAATAAATGAGAGAAAGAGCACTCAACCGTCTATCCGAGGAAATCTGAATGGTGTGTTCTCAATGGTTTTTCCTCAGAGTCTCTTCATGAAGATTATAAAGATGTATTGTGGTGAAGAATGGAAAATTTTAAATATTTTGGTTGGAAATTCCAGCTCTTTTCAGTCTGTCCAAAGGGGTATCTTCATGTTCTGATGCACTAATAGTACCATCTCAAACTTTAGAAAAAAATAAATAAAAAAATCACACTCTGAGTTTCATGTCTGATCTCTCTTCTTGAGCATCGAAAGTAAACTTTGTTATAAGAAGTTCTTTTCAACATTTCTGTTTCTCAACCATTTTCCAGCTCTTGAAATGTTGGAAATGGTAGCTCATGCATAATACATTAGGTGAAAATTCTATAAATGTTTTTGCTTTTAATTCATTTAGGAATCAAATTAATTTCATTTTCCTCATTGAGTATATTTTTATTCCTTGTAAAACAATCATTAAAACATTTGAAATAATAGAAGTGGAATAAGAAAGCATATCAAATATGTAGTTTTAATAATAGATTGCATTGTTAAGTCAGAAAGAATTAAGTAATTGTAGAAGTAAATATTTTAATGCATATTCTCCTCGTGGCTTGTTAATTCAGTTACTTACATTAGAATAGTTGCATAAGAAAAACAACATTTTTTGCCAAATCAATTATTATAGAAAGCAATTTTTTTAAGTTTATGCATTCAGGTTACATATGAATGAACAATATTGTGTTTATATCTAATTTAAGAAACATGTTTCTAAGGAATTAAGAATATGTCCAGGATAGAAGGAAAGGGGAGGCATCTCACTTTGTTAGAAGAAAAAAGGGGCAAGATTCCTCTAAGCTCATCTGTTCAGGATTTGGGTTTGGGTAGAGGAACATCCCTGAATCAGGAGCTTGATCAGGAGGATCCCATGAGATTGAGTGTTCAGTCTGTTCAGCTGAGAAGAGAGTGGAAGAAGGGGATACTGGTCAAGAATTTTTACAGTGATAGACACAAAAAATTTCCATTTGAAGTATCAAACATATTCTTACAATTATAGGATACCTTTTTCAAAGCCTTTGTAACTCCCTGGAAGACCGAGTCCTATTAACTCTGGAAATGATTTAGATGCTTTTGGACACCTAAGTTACCTAAGTAACAAGTATTTTTAAAGTTACCAATACTCAGTGTCTAAATACTTTGTAATGGGAAAAAACCCCCTATGACTAGGCATGACCACTGTCCAGAGCAAAAGGCATCACTTCGAATTGAACACACAATCAGAAAGAATAAAATTAAATTGTCTTTTAAATATCTAAATATATATTTAGATATATATAGCTTAATGCTTCAAATTACTCACACAGTTTTCTTAATGGAATTCCCTGCAGAATGATGCCATTGTACCTCTTGAGGCACAATAGGAAATTTCCCAAAGAAACAAAGACCTTAGCATCTTGCTTGATGCCATTACCACTTCATCATTCAGTTGGAGCTCTCAGTGTTACCTCTCCTGAACTTGGTGCAAACACCAGTGTAACAAAAATAACAACATCAGAAAAAAACCCTCCTACTTCCTAGGAATTCCGTGAATGTAGAATGAAGTGGAGAGAACTGAAAAAAATCACTACTGACACAGTGCCTCTTCAGAGCATGGCTCTCCCTCCCCTCCACTGAAGACAGTTGCCAACTCCTGGGGTGGAGAGTCATCTCCTTTCCCAAAGAGCTTCAAAGATCCAGCATTCTTTGTACCCCCATTACACTTACTAAATATTATATATCTGGGATATTTTGGTCAGCTGGATGGGAATAGAGGGTAGCTGTGTGTAACCTTCAAGACCTCTTTCACCTTCATTTGCAGTAAAATAGGGAAATACACACTTAAAAGGCACTGTTTTTCCCCTCATTCCTTGAGAGAGAATATAGATCAGTGGCAAGTAATACAGATCAGTGCTTTTACAGGATTCAAGAACGGTTTCCTGCTCTTTACTGTACTTTGGTTTGGTTGATTTTTATGCATTAGTATAGAAGAGGCTTTTCAATATTCAAATGGATGCCAAGCACAGTAGTATAGTGCATTAACCTTTCTCTTTGAGATATTTTTGTTCAATTGGTGGCAGAGAAAACCACAAACTGTGGCACAACTGTCAGTCTCGTAAATGATTTGTGACTGTGTAAATGCAGATGCCACAGCTGTCATGTAATCTGCACACAGGCTATACTGGAAATGTAACTCAGACCCTTCTGCTCCAAGAACATGGGCCTTTTCCATTTGTACTGTTCCACTAGCTGTTGAAATGGCTGAAAACTAGAAAAATTTATCATTCCCTTTCTGAACTTTAGCAAAATAGGACAGAGCTCTAAACTAGCTTTCATTTACCAACCAAAATTCTCCCAATGTGATTTTATAAAGCAAACATTTAAATCCAGTGATACCTAAATAGCTGTCAACAGTATTATAGTGAGCTGTACAAAACTTAAAAGCCCAGAAACAGATACATTTTCCTGGTTTCAAGTGTCACTGAAAACCACAGATTCATGAATCTGGATTGAGTATAACATCTCATTTATGGGTTTGGGTGGAAACCGCCTAAAAACTGCAAATGCCTTGGAGCTTTTATTGTAAAAGACCCAAAACTGCAATTCTGGGTAAGATTTGCTTTTGGAGGGAGTTAGTTTGAACCAAAAAATCACAAGTCAATACCAGGGAGAAATGAAATCATGCGAACCAAGTCAGCAAGGCATGTCTCAACATGGAATCAAAACAAAACAAGGCAAAGATTTCTCACGCACTTCCTTTGCAGGCCCAAGAGAGAGGATAGTCATAAAGCCCAGCAGATACATGCCTTTGTCCAGTAAAAGAAAAATTAGTTAGTTACTTACTCTCCTCTCTATTTAAGAGAGATCCAAGGATCAAAAGAAATTTTACAGTTCACAGGACTCAGAAACATAAACAAATATGAAAGAAATTTGCAAAGACCCTATTATTTCCTGACTTCATTTACTTCTGAGTAACAGATTATTTATTCCTTTGTAGAAGAAAATCAACATTTTTCTGAAACTTAATATGAAATTATTCTAAAAGTATTACAGGAAACAATATTTTCTCAGCTACCGCATTTAGACAGAGCAGCTCTGCTGAATATGATTTTGTACTTTCTTTATTTGTTTATATTCAGGGAGAGTTTGCAATTCTTTCCACCACCAACAACAACCCCCCAGCCCCAATTCATTGAGTTTATAGGTCTTCAGGCAATCAGATAGCAAAGACTAGAACAGAGATGTAGTGTTTAGTTGTTGCTTCCAAAACCTAGACTGCTGGTAACTTAATGAACCCTCTGGAGATATGCTCCCATGTGGAGCAGGTTATGTCTGTGCTTGAGAAGGTTTAAATTAGTTATTTCTTAGAATACCCTGTGATGAAGGCACTGCTACCAACTGCTTTTCTTGTCACTAACCTGTCAGGGCAATAAACCAATTAGTTGTTGCCATAGTAAGGGTCATTTCTTACTATTTTAAATTCTTGGGAGGGATACACAACACTTCACATATTTGTGGAGTCAGCATTTTCAGTTCATTATGATTGCAAATGAACGTGTTTCTTCACAAAAGCAGTTTCATTGTCAAAAAGGACTTGTTACGTTGTTTTATGAAGTGCTAGCATATATGGGGGTTTGGGGTGGGAGGGAAGAGAGCAGGAGGCAGTGTGCTGCTTCAGATATATCAACCACTCATTTTTTACGAATGCTTTTGAAACATATTTGGTCCTCAATTAGAAGTAGCCACATACAGCTTCTAAATCACTATTGGTAAGAAATGTCTATATATGCCAAATCTAGAGCTTGCATCCTACTAGAGATTTGAGATTTCTCCTTAGAAGTTTGTGTCTATAGGGAAATTACCCATGAAAATTAGGTGTGCTTGAGAAGTTGGATTGTGTCTTTTGGTTTGTGTCAATGTCCATGTACTTATGGTTTTTGGAGCAGGCATCAGGACTTTGTTTTGCCAAATTTGACCTAACAATGTGTCATGTACCTTGGAAAGAACTGAGCACCCTTGCCCTTTTCATATGTTCTCCACAGAAATTTAGAAGACTTGGCTCCAGAAATCTTCCCATACAGAGTAAGTAACTAACTCACATGTCAGTTACCATGGAACCATGTCACAGCATCTGCCACTGTAGTAATGAGACTGACAGATGCCACTGCCAAAGTACAGCACCTGACTGGTGGTGTAGTGCTGTGGCTTCACTCTGGTGGGTGGCTCAGCCCCACCCAGCCTCTCTCTCACTCCCCTCCAATGGGATGGAGGACAGAAGGATAAAAGTGAGAAAAGCTCAACAGATAAAGTTCAATAGATAAAGTTGAATGTGCAGGCAAAGCAAAATAAGAAGTTAATTCACTACTACCCAGATGTTTAGCCATTTCCAAGAAACCGGGGCTCCATTGTGTGTAATGCTTAAACAGATGCCAGCGCTCCAAATTTCTGCCCCTTCATTCTGTTATGATTGGGTTCCTTAAAATTATTAGAGAGATGCCTCTGCCTGAATTAAGGTGCAAATGAGACTATATGCCAAAATCTGTATTACAGATTTTTATTTAACAGTAAGTGTGAGGTAGAGAGATAGAAAGAAATAGGGAAAAGGAGAGAAAGGAGGAGAGAAAGAGAGTCACAAAAGGCAGATCAAGTAGAAAAAATATCACCATCCATGGATTCCATTAGTATCCCTTAGATCCTCTTTTTGTGCCCTCTCGGTGATGACAGTCTCAGTCTTGTTGAAGTGATGATTGCAGTCTGGATCCATCAATGGAAGGCCAGAGTGGTGAGGTAAAAAGCCTGTGGCGGTGCAGGAAGCCACGTGTGATGAAGGAAGAGGTCTACGTCATGAGGGAAGTCCATGTGTTGATGGTGAGGGAAGTCTGTGGCTGTAAGGGAGGCCCCATGTCTTTTATTTGGCTTAGGCTAGGTGGGAACGCCCTCTACACCTCCCTTGGGGTGGGGATTTTTACAAAGGATGATGTAATACTGGATCAGGGGACATTTTAGGAGTCTTTTACACTTTCTAAGACGTTACAGCTGCCTGTTACGTCAGTGCAGTTGAGTCCGTCATTTTAGCCCATCAGCATAGATACGTATCTTCAGGCTATGGGCGAATTATCCCAATCTTCCCTGGAGTGAAGTTATCACAGCTGAGTCATCTTTGTAACAAACCTACCTTGCCTCGAAGGATTTCCCTCTTTCCTTAT